TCATACATAAGTAAACGTTGTCAGCTGTTTTTAGAGTTTGATTATGGGCATAACATGAGGATAAATATATTTTCTATATTGACTCATGCTGGCTGCCCGCTAACATGAACTTTAACATGCGCCTAGCCTCGACGGGGGCCAAGCGAAATGTACATAGATAAACAAATAATCCACTTATCAATTAGCACTTGATACATTAATAGATGTAAGCTCTGCGGCTCACCTAGGGTTAATTTGTGAAGTGCTAAAAATACGTTAAGCGCATACGAGTGCCTCCATATCGATATCGATAGAAATGTGTCAGCCGCATTAGATAGCTAATAATCATGTAGCCCCTCCCCCACACAGTTGCACACACTCGCACAGTAGGGCCAATCGAGTCGACTGAGCAGCATACCCTACTCGATTGGCAGTGGCAAATCGACGTTGCTTTGGTGTAGGGTAGCTGGAAATGTGGTCGAGAGCTGTGCTAGCGGATTGCGTTTCTCACGCTGGATCAGGTCGCCGTTATCAGTTGGTGCTGCGGATAATAGCGAACCGAAACGTAAACAAACGACGCCCACATATTGCGCTGGCTAAACACCAAAGTCCTTGCCCCATGTGGAGTGGCCGGCTGGCAGATTGCTCAAAACTGGCGCTCGGTGCGTTTCGTGGCCGCGCTTCACATTGGCTGATCTGATTTTTTGACAGCTGCTCACGTTAATTGTGTATTGAGTGCGGGAGATTCCCGAATCGTCGTGTGGGTCGTGCGGGTCGAGTGGGTGTCATGGACAGTCAGGAGTACGCTTGGTTAAACCCCAGCGATAATAGCAACAATAGCATCAGCAACAGCAGCAACAGCAGCAGCAACACTTTCGCCACAACAACAGCTAACGGGCTAGAGGATGCCCTCATGGACATGGATATGACAACTGTTGCCGCCACCGTTGGAGCGCAGCTGCCCTCCCGGATTAACGCTGGCCTCCTGCTCTGGCTGATCATCAATGCGATCATCTTTGTCATCATTCTGGTGGGCAATGCGCTCACCATTGTCGCCGTGCGCACCTGCCGCAATCTGCGCTCGGTCATATCGAATCTGTTCATCCTATCGCTGGCCATCTCCGACTTCATTGTGGGCGTCGCCCTGCCCTATCACGTCGTCTTCTACATGGGCAGCAGCCTCGATCTCGGCAGACTGCGCGGCTTCTGTTTGTTTCGCTTCTTTCTCTTCATCTGCGCCTGCTGCGTCTCCATACTGACGCTCATCTCCATTGCCGTGGATCGTTATATCGCGGTCATGTACGCCCTGCACTACAGACGGTAAGTCTTCACATGAACTATTGTCTATAACAATTCGGGTTTCGAGTCGAACTCAGTCTATGCAGATCTATAATCTGCTTGTCTGCCGAGTCCCTTGTCTAAATTACGGGAATCTTTCGACCTGCTCAGCTGCTCCCTCCGTCTGACTTATTTCTATATACATTCCGACTTAAAAACTAATCCGATTTTAGTCTTCTTATATCCATATTGATCAGTAACTTCTAGATTTTTATCGTCTAATCGATCAAAGTTGATATGAAACAAGAATTATAAACTGTAAATTCTTACAGATCTGTTTCTGTCTCCCGACTTACTCAGCTGTTCGGATGGTCTGACTTACTTCTATACACATTCCGTCTGATAATCTAATTGGATTACAGTGTTATATCCATTTGTATATATATTGATCATTAACTGCTAAAGAAAAATCTTAAAATAAAAATCGATAAAGATCGATTTCAAATAGCAATTTTAAGCTAGGCTGATACTATAGCTATTGCTAATGACATTAAACTAGTCATGGAAAGACCAAGTATAGCTTATACCTTGTATAACTAACCCGGCCATAATATAGTAAAATGTCTAGATGAATCTTATATAGCTAATATTTCGATATCATATACAGTAGAATCTGATTATAACAACGCTTAAGAACCATCGACATACCCGCAAGACGCTATAACCATAAAAGTTTGCCCATATAAGTTAGCTATAACCGTACTCTACTTTGCTATATCTCTTGAACTATGAACACCAAATTTTGACTCAGTATACCTCAAGATGAGTCCCAGTTCAGCGGGCTTCCCACTGGGCTTTCATATCGGTAGACATCATTGTGAATATATTATCTGACCCAGCTGGGCAAATGGCAGCTGCTATCGCCTAGTCAACTATTACAATAGGCAGTTTATTTCTTGGTCGATTGCACATATAATCTCCAATATCCGAATCTTATCTTTATAACGTGTTTTGGGTTATTTTCACTTAAGGCCAACGTCTACAGTCCATAAATGAACGTATGACACTCGTATAATTTTAGCGATGGTAGCTGGCTTACTCGATACTTATTTGCACTTCCGATGCTTTCGTTATATTCAATTTGTATGTTGTCCCCTCTTGAGTGCTCAGCTAATCGAAATCCTTGCTCATTTATGGCAGCTATATGACGCGTCGCGTCGCCTACATGATCATCACATTGAACTGGTGTGTGGGCGCTCTGGTGGCTCTGATACCCATATTCTGGAACAAGTGGTCCGCGGCGCAGGGCTGCGAGTTTGACGAGGTGCTGCTGCCATGGTATGTGGCTGGGATCATAACGCCCGGATTCGCCATCATCTGGATATGCATGCTGGTCTTCTACTGGCGCATCATGCGCGAGGCGTCCAAGCAGGCGCAGCGATTGCGCCAGTCTGTCGTCTACAACACGCACAGCAGCCACAGCATGCTGCACCCGGACTGGAAGAGCGTCCAGATTGTGGTGTTCATCATGGGCTGCTTCACGCTCTGCTGGCTGCCCTACTTCTGTGTGGCGATCGCCCAGCTGTTTCGCGTGTGCCGCAGCAACTCGATGATCTACAAGACAGCCTTCTCGCTGGCCATGGCCAACTCGGCGCTCAATCCCATCATCTACTCATGGAAGAATGCCGGCTTTCGGCGTGCGTTCGCCCAGACGCTCTGCTGCAAGTCCAGCAGGTGCTGTCGCATCGATGCCGACCTGGAGCTCAACCTGCCCTCGGACAGTGTCAAGCAGCGCATCGATAGCAACAGCTGCAACGGCTACACAGCCGCCAAGGAATGTAAGCCCACAGAAAAACTCTCAACTCAGTGCCAGGGCGCGCAATAAATACAAAATAAATCGGATGTAAATCACAAGAAGAAATATCTTTAATGCGAGGGGGAGAAACCCCGAGGGGTGCTACATCGATCACTTGGTAGATCACAATGAACAGAATCAAAGACATTTGTTGACGGTTTAGTGAAGTGGGATTAATGGAGCATACAGACTAAAGAAAACCATTAGGAAATCCAGCCTTAACTCACGCAGAGTTCACGTCTCATTGAATCAATCTATACTGACTCATTATTAGCTCTCTATCTCAGTTGGCTTCCGAAAGAGAGCTGAACACATGAGCACTGCGCATATCCTAACTAGAGACTCAAATGAGCATTTTAGCAATTGTTATGGTTAAGCTTGAGTGGGGTGATTTGAAAGCCCAGTTCGAGGCGTCGTCTAGTCGGGCTGGGAAAACTTGAGAAAGCAGTTGGCAATGGGAGAACTTGAACAATTATTTGAATTGAAAGTCAACGCTGAAATATCGTGTTAATTGTAAATGCGAAACACGAATATTTACAAAGAATACTACACCAGGTGTTAGTTAGATTGAATACACAACTTGAGGGTAGGGTATTTGATTACAAACCCCTTATAACAGCTGATGTTTGGCAGTTACTTTAGAAATTTAGTAAATAAGTTCAGCTGAAATAAAAAGTAAAAAATATGTTGGGCAAGATCAAAGAAACTGAAGCCATAAGGAAGGAGCCTTAAAGATCTTTAGGGGGCGAGAACCCTTAAGGTGCTAAAGCCCTTAGAGAGCGAAGGCTCTTAGCGAGTTAGTGCCCTCAGGGAGCTAATGCCCTTAAGGAGCTAAGGACCTTAAAGAGCTAATGCCCTTAGAGAACTAACGATCTTAAGGACTTAAAACCCTAAGGAGCTAAGGAGCTAAGGAGCTAAGAGGCTAAGGCCCTTAAGGAGTTAAGATTGGCGAATTTAAGAATCTAAGGCATATGAGATATAGAATGAGTGTTTCGGGCTAGCATACGCAAAACCTTAGACTTAAATACGAAGTCTCTGCTGTAAATCTCTAGCGGATCGAGCATGATAAGAACACTAATAGAACTTACCTCGATGCCGGTAATGCCCAGGGCGTGCACCATGTTCTGTGTCAGGCGGAAGGGCACACGCTCGGGTATGCGCAGAGTGCGGCCCTTCTCGAAGCAGACATTGTAGTCGATGTGGACGATGTCGCCGCTGCTCAGGTTGATGAGCACATTGTCCAGGTGGCGATCGCCCAGGCCAATCACATAGCCAATGACGGACATGACGGCCATGCAGTTCGTGTAGCGACGCACTGACTGGCGCCACTCGGCGGCGCTGCCCGCATGGCACCACAGCTCACGGGAGAGCAGATCCGCCGGCGTCTCCTGCTGCAGCTCGCTAAGCACCTGTCGCAGCACCGACAAGGGCCACTGGCGACGCGGATCCGTGACTAGCATGTTGTGCTTGGCCAGCAGTGGCGACAGCTTGTTGTAGTAGAGATCGGTGAGGCGGCGCGATGTGGCGCCTGTGGCCGGCTGAGGCTGGCGCTGCTGCCATTTCTTGTACAGGGCAAACAGCGGAGTGACCCCATCCACCCAGCTGATCAGACCCGACTGGGGGCCCAGCGGTATGACCGAGTAGTGATGGGCGCGATAGCAGCTCTGCGGCGTATCATTTTTGGTAGCCATGATGGCATTCGATATGGACAGGAATTGCATGATGCGCTCATCCAGATGCAGATCCTCCAGGCCCTTGAAGAGGAACGTGTACTTCTGCCCATTGCTGCCATAGAAGGCGACCTTCTTGGGCTTCGTCTTGGTGGGCAGAATGCAGACGGTGCTCTCCACACTCTCAATGTGCACCGGCTGCTGTTCGTCTTGCGCGTCCAGGCCCGGCATCGAAATGCGCATGCGTCCAATTTCGCACAGCACCGGACTGATCGTCTGCATTCTCAGAGTGCTGCTCGTGCCGCGCAGCATGTTAGACTGCAGGACGTGGTAGAGTTGCTTCAGCTTGTCCCATGCCTCCGGGTACGGGCGACTACGCAGCGCCTCCAGCGTGCTCGCAATGGGCGCATCGAAGCGCCGCTTGAAGCTGCGCTCGTAGTTGGTCTCCGCCTCGCGGGTGGTGAATGCCATCAGCGCCTCCATATCGCTGATCAGCTGCGGGCGCCAGCTATCGAAGCGATTCTGCTTGCCCTCATGATCGTCGGGCTTGAACTCGCTGGCCAATCCGCTGACACGGCCCACATAGCTATTGTAGATGTGCGCCAGCGAGTGTATCCAATACTCATCCCAGAGCAGGCAGACGCGTCGCAGCTCCTTCACCAGCAGCTGGACATGCTGCACCACCTCGGGCGACTGTTTGGTCAGCGCATTCAACAATATTGCATAGCTCTGTGCCGGGCTGCTGCTGCTACCGCCGCCGCTGCCGCTGCCGCTGCCGCTGCTGGCGGTGCTGTTGATGGGCGTGGCCTGGAGCTCACGATTGGCGCCCACCACGGCCGGAAAGGTGACCAGCTGCGGCCGACTCTCGGCCAGGCGGCAGAGCAGCGCACACACACTCTTCCTGACATACGGCTCATGATGATTGAGCCGGCTGAAGAGCTGCGGAATGATGACCTTCCACGGCCCAATCGGCGTCGTCTTCAGGCCCTGCTCCAGCACATCCTGCAGTCCGCTGGCATGCTTCACAATCAGGCGCAGCAGACGCAGCGTTGTCGTTACCACGTTGCTGTCGTCGACATGGAAACGCGGCTGTTGCGGCTGCTGCGGCTGCACCGCACACCCCTCGCCGGAACCCGCCTTCAGGCTGAGATACTGGAAATAGGAGCCTGCCGCTGCCTTGTAGTAGTCAAAGGTATTGGCCATGGCCCGACGCCAGATGCGCACTATCGACTCCAGCACGCTGGCTGGCTTGTCGGCCAGCACGCTGAGCTGTCGCAGTCGCAGCTCGCACTGTGCATCCGTTTGCAGTTCGTCCTCCTCGCAGTTGTTGCCCGGCTGGGGCTCCGTGCGCAGTGCCTCCAGCAGCTCCTGCAGCGTGTCGCCATCCAGGGGCTGCTCGCCGCCCAGCGCCTCGCCAATGGCCGTGATATCCGCCTGGCTGAGCACGGTGCCGCTGTCGACGGTCTTCTTGCCCCAGCGATAGCACCAGTTGCCATACGCGATGAGCGCCTCCTCGTTGTTCGGCCGCTGCTGCAGGCTGGCATTGATCAGGCGCGCCACCAATCGCTCGCCGTGCGGCAGCGTCGTCGGCTGTGTCGAGCTGCGCGCCAAGGGGCACTCGGGCAGCTGCTCCAGCAGCTGCTGCATGTGGGTGGACATGTTGGTGGCCAGCCCGTTGCAGCTGCGCGCGGCTATCCAATCGGAGAGCGTCAGCAACAGCTCGGCCCCTACATTGGAAGTCAGCTCCGGCTGCGGCAGCTGCTTCTGTATGGCCAGACAAAGGGATGTGCACACATTGATGGCGCTCAGCTCGCTGCACTGCAAATGCTGCTGCTGCTGCTGCTGCTGCTGCTGTTGCGGCTGGAGCTGCTGTTGGAGGTGCAGGCACTTGGCCACCTCGGTGTAGCCACGCAGCAGCTGCAAATTGTTGATGTCCGGCGAATTGGTCAACAGGTAGCCCGCAACGTCTGCGAGTGGCTGGCCAAAGAACCGCTCCAGCATGGCCTGGCAGGTGGACTGGTTGCCCTCCTCGCGCGCCACCGCCGCCGTCTCCAGATAGAGATTGCCCAGGCTGTTCACGTTGCAGTGGTTGCGCAGCAGTTGCGTCCAGGCCACACAACGCAGGAATAAGGAGCTGCCCAAGCTGCCAATATGGTGCTGATGATGTTGATGCCCCTGCTGCAGCTGCTGCTGCTGGCGCTCCTCTCTGCCCTTGTTGTCCATGGGCAGCAGCATCAGCGGCTCCTGGCTGCTGCTCAGCGTCTGGGTGATGTGCTTCAGCAGCGTCAGCTGCTGCCAGTGCTGCTGCTCGCAGCTGTAGTTGAGCAGACACTCGCGCCAGTTCATGTCCAGCAGCTGCTGCACGCGTGGACCCACCTCAAACGGCTTGTGGTCGTCCACTGAGTGGCACTGCTGCAGCACAATGTTCTCCAGCTTCTCGAGCACACAGTCGGCCGAGAAGCTGGCGTGGGGCTCGTTGTCGCTGGGCCAGATGCTCAGCGTGTGCAGCGCAGCGTTCAGTTCGTCCGATGTGGCCTCGCTCTTGGCCAGCAGCTGCTCCAGCACACTCAGCTGCGTCATGCTCTTGTGCAGGAAGGGATTCACCTGGATGTTGTCGCCGGCGCGCTTCCACTTCGCCTTCAGCTCCACTAGCTGCGTCCACTGTCCCGTGCAGTGCAGGCACTCGAACAGCTGCGCCTGCACAAACTGGCGCGTATGCGTCTCCAGATCCCCATCGGCCAGAACGGACCGGTAGCCGGCCAGCGCCAGCTCCGTGCGCTCAGCTGCCTGATCTGCGGCAGACAGCAGCCACTTGTAGCACTTGCTGCTGCGCGCGCGCGCCCACACGTACAGGCCGCGCAGCGAGTCCGATTCCTGGCAGCTGACATAGGCCCAGGCCAGGTAGACTATCGCCTGGCTGTACGTGGAGTCCTGCGTCTTATGGGTGAGCAGGATTTGCTGTGAAAAGAGACGGAAATAAGTACGAATTCCAAAGTCTTTTAAACTAGAGTATGGTAGAGAATGCTCGACGGGGAAATACTCTGCACCCAAACACAAATATTACACTAAATCTTTCTATTCAATACATGGATCCAGAACAAACGAGCGATCGATTTTTATCGATAATAAGGAAATGGTATGAGTTATCGGAATAAAATTATATGCTTGTGCTGCGTGCACTATACAAGAATCTAGATGTCAAATTTTGGATCTCTATCTTTTATAGTTTACGAGATTGTAGCGTTCATGCTGACGGACAGACGATCAAACCTACGGACTGACGTAAGAGCGGACATGGCCAGATCAACTCAGCTGAACGCTGTGATCAAGGGTCTTGGGATATTTGCACTCCTTCAATGGGTTCAGAGCATCGAAAGCAATGACACCTACCTGGGCATAGCGTATGACCAGCTCCGGCTGATGACAGTGCATGGCTATGATAATGACGCTGGTGCGAATGCGATTGAACCAGGACTGGCATGTGGGATTGTTGAGCCGGAAGAAGGCGCTGACTGGCTTCTCGGGTGCGCGCAGTGCAAAGGCGCTGCCCTCGGCCGCATTGTAGATGAGCTTCTCGAGCGCATCCAGGAAGCCCAGCAGCAGGTTCAAGTTGGCACGCGTGTTGGAGAGCTGCTGCAGTGAGAGATCGTCGAAGTCTCGGCGCTCATTGTCCTTGCCACAGCCACTGAGAAGTCGGGCATAGCGCGTCACAATGGCCTCGAAGGCGAGGAACGTGTCCTGCGGCTTGCCCAGCGGCGTGCGCAGCTTCTGGTCGACACAGAAGCGCGCCGCCTCGAACTGCAGCCAGACGGTGGCCAGACGCTGACAGCGGCGCGTGCACTGGGAGAGCTTCTCCTGCCGCTCGTCGAGCTGCGTCACCTGGCAGCTGCGTATGAACATCGACCGCAAGCACTCGCCGAACGGCTGTTGCTCCGGCGTCTGCAGGCGCTCAAAGAAATCCCGAAAGACATTTTCGCGCATGGCGCTGCACTGGCTCAGGCGCTGCTGCCAGACGCAAATGTGATTGCTGCCAATGCCGGAGGGCACGCGTCGGGCGATGATCAAGCTGAGCGGCAGCTGGGCATAGATCTGGGCGTAGGCCTCATGGGCGCTGCTGACCAGCGATTGGAGCTGCTGCAGCGCCGTCTCGCGATACAAAAGGAGCAGCTCAAGGCTCAGATTCGATGTGCCATAGCCGAGCACGGCCTGAATGCACAGAGCACTCTCCAGGGGCGCGTATTTGGCAGCTGTGCTCGCAATGCTCTCGCAAATGGTCATGAAATCGTCATGCTCCAGCAATACGGCACAGCGCGAGCCACACTCTACCAGCAGAGATTTTGTCCAGCCGAGCAGATGCTTGATATTGACCGGCGCCAGCTGTGCACTGCTCACCAAGCAGTGGGCCAAGAACTTCAGTATCTGACCGAAGCTGTGAGCCGTCGGCGACTGGCAGCTGCCCGGATGCAGGTTCTTGTCGGCGTCGCTCTCGCGCAGCAGACTCGAGTTGTTGCGGAAATTGTGATTGGCCTGGCAGTGGACGACGAGCAGGCAGAGTATGGCATGATGGGTGGTCGGATGCTTCGACCAGATGCTCAATTCGCCGGCACGACAATTGGTTATCAAGAGCTCCAGTATGGATGGCTTGCAGGCGTACATGCCAATGATTGAGGACGTCTGCTTGGCCAGTGCCGCCAGTGTGGCCAAATGAAAGATGAGCAAGATTTCCGCTTCGCTGGAATCGCACTCGGCCTGGGCCAGCTGTGAGATACATTTGTCCACGTCCTGGACGAGCTGCTTGTATGCCTGCTGCAAGATGGGCACATTCTTAATCAGCAACGTCTCCTGGCAGGTGCGCAGCAGCAGCTTGTGGGCCTTTGTCTCGTTCTGTAGTCGTATGCTGGTCAAATATGTCTGCTCTGCAGCATCAGCGGGATCCGACTGAAAGATCAGTTGGACCAGGCTGGCGGGCACACGAGCGCGCAGCTTCCGCACCGTGCACAACAGCAAATACAGGCAACTCAACTTTTGAGAGTCGGACAATTTGGATATGTGCTCGAACTGCATGTGGATTAGCTTGTCGAGAGTCTCTGCGTCCGGATTGGCATAGCCATTGAGCAAGCAAATGCAGAACAGCTCATTGATATTCATCAGAGCATCGTCGCCCACGCCGTGCGGGTCCTCCAGCATGGCGGGCAGCACTTTGATGAGATGCACGAGTGCCAGGGCAACGATTGATTCGCATGAAATGTGCATGCGGGTGAGACATTTGAGCAGCGTATTGAAGGCCCCAACGAAGGCGCCGATCCGCTCGTCCAGGCGCTCCGATTTGTCCGATATGTCCTCGATGAACTGGGTTAAGAGTCCATAGCTAAAGTCCAACTGTTTGCTAAAATATGGTGTCAGCTGCTCCAGCACGTAGGCGCAATGCGTCCTCACTTCCTCGGGCTGGCCAACCTCCAGCTGCCAGCCAATGATGATGTCCACCACATCCGTAAAATGGCACTCGAAAGTGTCGCGATAATTGAGCGAGAATTGCACAATGCACGTACTGATGCCCATGAAGATGTCGGGGCTCTCGGCTCCCTCCAGAAAGTCTTTCAATAGGGCCATTATCTTGTCCGAAAAAATGTGCAGATCGCCCTTTGTGTCGCAGCTAAAATAAAGCAGGCGTACGGATCACGGTTCACGTGGACATGGGATGACACTCACCTGAGCGTCGTCTGTAGCGCAACAATTAAATATTTTTGCATGCGCTTGTGCATCCTAAAGTTATTCACAATGAAGTCCTCATAGATGGGATATGACATGCGATTGATGTAGCCAATCACTCCAAGAGTTTTGCTGCACTCCTCTAGCACCGGGGCCGGGCATTGCTTAAACAACGACAGCATGCCATCCAAGATAACGTCAAAAGACCGAGTCAAATAGCCCACATTAACTGGAGTCCGCACGGCCATGTCCAGTTTGTTGCACAGTTCGAGAGCAGCCGCCGGGCTCGATTCGTTGTGCAGGCGGCGCATAATCTTCGACATGCGCATGTCGTCGCCGCCCATTTTATCTCCTCGATCATTGGATGAGAATTGCACTGTGAATATAAGAAGCAAATGCAGACAGTTACAGCTACAGACTGTACATACATAGGCAGTTGGGAGAGCTGATAGATGGGTGGATGGGTCACTTACTCCTGCATTGATGCACTTTACGCGAAATGCCCTTTGTCATATCATTGTTTATATTACGCAGCACTGGATTAGCGTTGGCGGACGCTTGCATATCGTGTGCTGGAGGCCACAGCGTATTTTCATTTATATTATTAATGTTGCTGTTGTTGTTATTATTAATATTGTTGTTGCTGTTGCTGTTGCTGCTGGTGTTGTCGTTCACAATGTGTTTGTTACCGCTCCTTTTGTTGCTCTTGTAGCCAGAACCATCGGTCAGTATCGATGCATCCTCGTTGGCATTATTGCAATTGCCCAGCGGTAAGACAGCGCTTTTCATCGAAAGATCACCAAGGCTTGTGATCATATATGTACATTAAATTTGCGCCACCGAATTGTTTTTGTTGTTTTGGCTTTCACGTTCAGTTCATGGAGATGTCAATCACTGACAAACAGTGTGCCCACATTATTCGATATATGTTACGGTTTTCAGCACACAACTATCGATTGATTCGTTAACCGATAGTAAAGTCCTTGGCAGCACTGCGGTAACAAAGATCGCAGTTTTTTTTTCAAATTTTCATGCAAAAACTATTTACAAATTTTAAATTCAAAATCATTTTGATACTTATTTATAAGAGCTCAAGTTTAAAGGAAACGAATTTAGAAATATATTTTACGTCTATACTTTAAAGATTTTATTAATTTAATACTAAATACATTACTACAGTACATATTTAATCAATATATAAAAAATGAATTAAGTGAATTAATTTGTCAATTTGCCATTTTGCCAATCAAATGTTGTGTATAGGCTGCCACAAGATTTGCCATCTCCGCATACACTTGATACGGATGCTGGGGCAGTGCTACAGATTGACAGTTTGTCCACTGGGCTTCCAGTAGTGGAACAGGCTGAAGATCCAGAGCCTCCACTGGTGGCGGTGGTGGCTGCTCACGCTCCACCAGCGAAAGACAAATGTCACCGACCTGCAATTGCTGGCACTTTAGCTCGTAAAGATCAAAACTCAATTGCGGGTTGCACGATGCCCAGCCCTGGCCATACACAAATAAAGGATGAGCCGATGCCACCTCCATGGTGACCTAGAACGGAGCACAAAGTAAATCCAAATCAAATTCAATAAATTTGCAATGGTCGCACCTTCAAATGCTGCATATCATAGCTAAACGTAATCTTGTTCATATGCTCTGAGCTCCTATCTATCTTGACCACCGTCGCCTCCTTGAGGTCGAATTCCGGACAACGCAACGCCGACTGAATGAAATCCTCGGTGCGTATGTCCTCCACACGGCGCAGCACGCCCGTCGACAGCTCGATGTAGGTGCCTCTTCTGAAGCAGGCGCTCGCCTCAATGTCTTGAGGGCTGCAATTGATTCGAATCGTAATTATTTCATTAAACATTCGGCAATGTTTTGTCACTGGTGTGTGCGAACATTTTGTATGGGTTGTATGGATGCTCCATGGTTTTTCCGTCTTTGGCACGACCTCTTCGCTGCACTTGCAATTGAAAACTGACTCAATCTCTCAGCCAGTCCGATTCATTCAATTGAATGTGGTGCTTTCCCTGGGCTTTCCAGGAACGTCACCCACTCGCCGACCATCGCCCACGCACTTCAATTTGTGTTTACCTGCCCATGAGTGGCAGGTAGCTCAGGCACCGCCCGCAGGGCTCTACCTAGGTTTCTGGCTAACAGCCATTGTGTTGCTGCTGCGGCTGTTGCGCCAGGCGCCTTGAACCCTAGGACACCCTAGAAATACACAAAACCGGCAAGGGAACGCAATTGCTCTTGGGCTGGCATGCATATTCGTATACACACATTTGTACACATTTTTTATTGGACTTTTCGTTTTCGCTTTGAGACTGAGGACTTGATTTGGGTGACGCGGCGACGCTTGCCAAAGCTCGGCGGCCACTGGAAGTCCATGGCGTAGAGATAGTAGCGCACATAGAAATAGGTCACGCCCAGCGCACAGTAGACGGAGGTGAGCAGCAGCGGCATGAACGGAAGCGACAAGTGCAGACCCAATAGCCGACTGATTATATGCTCGTAGATTGGAATGGCTATGAAGCCGTAGAAGTAGATCCACTCAAGTATATGGATGCTCGGCTTGGTCTTATACACACGCTCCAGCTGGCCATACATCATGGCCACGTAGGCCATGAAGAGCGAGTAGCGCGGCACCAGCAAATCCACATCGAAGAGCAGCGGGAACAGCGAAAAGTAGCCCGTGATGGCCAAGATGTACGCAAACTTGGCATCTCGATGATCAATCACGGCAAGCAGGCTGTAGATTGGACAACGAATTAATTGACAGTCTAGCCAAATTCAGAGACTTTCACTACTCACCACATGGGCAACAGGCACATGAGTATGGCCTTCTCGTGGACGTGCCAGCCGAACATGAAGGAGGAGCAGGCGCAGAGGACAATGGCGCGCATGAACACTAGTTTGGCTTGCCTGGCAATTGTGAGTCGTGGTTAGATGATGCAACAGTGAAACAGTTGGATTGCTTACTCTCTGGTGGGCGTGAGGAAGAGCTTCAGCAGTATGGGCAGCATAGAGAGTACAGTGAGTGCGAACGTAATGGACGGCGTGATTGTGGGCAGCACTATGTGCTGCACCTCCTGCACCAGCCCAGAGGTCGTGGAGGGCACATCGGGATCGCGACTTCTCCCCAAGACGCTGACAGCCACCTTATCGGCGGCATTGTAGAGTGCCCAAATGTTGGGCGCCCAGTAGGCGTGTGTGAGGCCGCGCTTGAAGGGGAACAGGCGCGACATCAGCTGCGGCAACTGCTGCCAGAAGGGACCAAAGGACAGTACGAATGGTGTAAGTCCCGCAGCGAGCAGCTTAATCGTATTCTGTACAAACTCTCCTTCGCCCAGGCAGTAGAACTTCAGCAGATAGACAGCAAAGGCGGGCGCCACGTAAAGGAATATGTGCTTGAAATTCAACAGGACGGCGAATGCAAATGCGCTCCACAAGTAGCGTTTCTTAATCATGGCACTTATGCTTAGGAACAGTATGCCAAATAGGAATCCATTGTATTGAAAGTGAATATGATCTACAAAAATGAGACCCACATTCAGGAGGAGCAGCATGGAGCCAGCAATGTGCTTCTGTGTGGATTGTACTACTCCAAGGGCGGCGAGGATACTGTGAACGCCTAGCATATAGATCAAATCCATTACAATTATAGAGCCGCGCTGGAAATACACCGTCGCCTCGGAGGCATAGTTTAGGTTCTGTACAATAAGCATTTTGGGATCAACATATTTGGCCACTTGTGAGAGCAGCCACTCGAAGTAGGCGAAAAAGGGCGGATAGTCCAGTGTCCATTCACTTGTTGCATCCAAATACCATCGGTTGATTGGTAAACTGTGTGTTATGGCCAACCAATTGCGATGCACTTCAAAATCCGTCGAATAGCTGCAAAGGAAATTGAAATTGAACTGAAAACATCAATTTTTGCCGGCCGGCAAACGCCACTTTAAAGTTATACTCACTAGGCGGGAAACAGTAACACTTTGAGTGCACTGCTTATGGCCACCAAATCCAAAAAGTAGCTCATATTGCTGCAATTATGTTGACATCAGCTGGGGAACCATTTGAAAAGCTTCTATTCCTTAGTTTTTTAATAACACGCACGTTAATGTCGTTTGTGATGGTATTCTTTCTATTTTTCTTCAGTAAATATCGACTGTTCGCTGACCTATCGATGTTTGGTATTTTTAAGGCAGCCACAAGTTTTCGGTATTTTTAAGCGCAATTTAATAGATTGGATTTGAACGTTTTGTTTACATCGCTCACCTGTAGGCACGTGGACTCTTCGTCTTTAATAATGGGAGACATTGGCGAAGCTTTATTTATCAGCACACTTAATAATGAGCGAGCATCCTGCTGCGTACAAGACCTGCGCACAGGAACCGATCTGATGCGTTACAAAGGCGGCGGCACGATGCAGCCGCACAGCCTCCAAATGCTCGAGGATCACTTTGTGATAGCAGCCAACAGCACGAAACCTTTGTTGCATGTGTGGCCGATCAATGGGCAGGAACAAATGACCAGCATACGTTACGTGGTGCCCGGCAAGGTAAATGCCTTGGCCTTGACGCCAGACAGTGCCTATCTGGTCGCTGCCATACAGGAGACCATCTACGTGTGGCATCTAAATTCTGGGCGACTTCTCAACACGCTATCCAAGCATTATCAGCCCATCAATTGCATTCGCTTTACGGACAACGGCGAGCATTTTGTCACCGGCGGCAAGGATGGTGCCGTGCTTGTGTGGAGTTTAACACGTGCGGTTGCTCCCTTCGGAGGCGGCGACAGCGAGGAGAACGCTCCACTTTACAATTTCAATGACCATGGGCTAGCGGTCACTGATGTGCACATTGGGCTTGGTGGCATTCGCGCCTTCATGTACACCGTCTCCATGGACCGTTGCTGCAAGATTTATGATCTGAGTGACGGCACGATGCTCTTGAGCGTCGTCTTTCCCGTCTCCCTGCACAGCGTGATCGTTGACAAACTAGAGACGAGCGTCTATGTGGGCACCAGTGAGGGTCAGGTGCTTGTTTTCCACATGGATAAAGTGCCGCGCATGAAGGTGAATACCAATAACATTGAAAGCTGTTTCATTTCAGTTTTCTACTATTTTCTTAACTGTCATCTACAGGAATACCATCTGGAGGAGGAGGAGAGCCAGGCATTTGTTGGCCACACGGCCGGCACAGCCATCACCTGTTTGGCTCTGTCTGTGAATGCGCAACAGCTGATCTCTGGTGGCGAGGACAAACAGGTGTGCATCTGGGATGTCGTCAGTCGGCAGCTGGTGAAGAGCATTTCACAGCCAGGCGCCATTACGAATTTGTATTTGCGCCTCATAAGCACATCCCGATTTCATCCAGGTCCCAAGGAACAAAAATCATTTGCCGACAATCTGAAGCGTATGATTAGTCCCGATGATGACGATGATTGCATCGAGCTGCTCATCACAGAGGAGTATCCAAAGGCACCAAAATTCCTCGAGCCAAACTATGACAACAGCTACGATGGCAGTGCCGGAAACTCCGTCAGCCTTTCAGATGACTACGAGGACGTTGCGATGAGCGAGCCAGAAGAGGAGTCATCTGATGTTGATGCGGAAATGCCAGAAGCTGCTGCCAGTGCTCTACAAGCGGAACTCGCGGAGCTGCGCGCTGAGAATGCGCGACTCAAGCTGGACGCTAAGCGCCTAAAGGACGTTAATATTAAAGATCAAATTTTGAGCCCTGTACAAAGTGGCAAACCGCCAAAGAAAAACAAAAAACCTCGAAAAAAATAAATTTATAGGGATTCAATTAACAATTATGTTATGCTATATATTTTTTGTTTATAACCAATAAATGTTTTGTGGAAACGAATTGCTATCACTAGCAAAGAAACAAAATTGTGGGCTTAATTGATATGTGAGCTGGGTGGATTTTCGTCACCCTGCTGACTGTCCATTTCATCATCCTCGCTCTGCTCACCAGAAGCGCTGTCATTTTCCTGCGCCAGCTGACGACGTATTTCGCGATTCGAGTCGAGGAGCTCGCGTAGCTGCGACAAAATGTCTTCAGTACGTTGCTCTACAGCGTCCAAGGCACAACTTAGAGCATCAAGGCTCTGATTGACATCCTCCATCTCTGCAAGACGCAATACCACATGTTAAGTGCCTAAATCTATATATATATTTTATCTATGTATWAGCATATTACCCTGGAGATCAGCCTCTGGAACATTGGTATTGTCCGAATCGCCAGGGGACAGCGGATCGTGATTGTTTCTGGGAGGCATCGTTGTTATTGCTGCTAAAACAAAACGTCAGCTGACTTTTGCTTGATTAATAAGGCAAACATAGGCGTATGCATAGCTATGAGCAAAGGGGTTCCATTTTGTCTCATTTGCTCACAATTTATAACAAAGAAGGGAACTATTTTTGTGGAAATATTTAATTTTCATTAGCTTTCCGAAACATAACAAAAGTTTATAAAAATATTGACGACCCTCTGCCAAGCCTTAACTACGCCCATGCCTGGCGATGACTTTTATTTCGATCAACCTATCGATGAATTTTCCAAATAAAGGCAATTTGATTGCTACTTCAATATACGTTTTACAGCACTGACTGTCAATCAGCCGGCTATAATAACAATATATAGCAAACACACACACATTCTGGTGACTGTTGCATAAAATTTAGATTGAACACTGTTACCTGGTACAAGTAAGTCGTTGCGGCATAAAAACACATGTGCATATTGTCATTGAAAGGCTTGTATTTATGGCCACAATACACACACGCACGCACACACAAACAACTATTGCCACTTCAGAACGAACAGCTAACAATAAATTGTGGGTTGTTTGCTTTCGGTGTACGTGCTCAGCCAAATGGAGAGGTCTAAGATAATATACATAATTAAATACGCCATAACAACAATATACGCCTATAATTAATTAGATTTTCGCTTATTCTTTTTTATTTAAAAGTTTTAAATTACAAAAAAATTTGTATCACAATTAGTATTATTTTATTTTGTCCATTACATTTTAAATAGTATAATTGTTGTGGTTGTCGCTGTTTATATTGATGCTGTAGAGCCCAATTGTTGCTTTCTATCGCTATGTGGTTATATTACATGTCACATTTTTATGCCGCTTGGGGCCCAGCTCCACGCTCAATGCGCACGATTCGGAAAGCCTGAAAAATGCAAATGGAATGAAGTTGGACGTACAGGCATGCGTCTCTCGTGGCGGCCACTTACGTCGTCGACAGTGATATCCAGTGTGGCATTTGCAGTCCTTGTTGCCCCGGCAGCTGCCCTTGCTGCACTTGCAGGTGGAGCGCTGTTTCCGGCCAATTTCGCAGTGATCGCCGCGCAAGCCATTCGGACAGCGGCATAGATTGTTGCCAATGCAGCGACCCCCGTTTTTACAGGGTATTACGCACTTGGCTAAAGGGATTTGGGATATATTTAACCTATATCTAGCTGACCCTAGTTAAAAGCACTTACAGTATTCACAGTGCAGGCCGTAGTATCCCTTGGAGCATTGGCATTTGTCCTTTTGTATGCATTTGCCGCCATTCAAGCACTTCTCCTTGCAAATACCTGCAATGGGATAGTTATTAATCGATTGTTGTTGCTTGCAGGCTACAGAAGATGTATCGCAGGACGGGTCTACAATTGATTCGCATGGCCATGCCACCGGCAAGACGTGGCCAAGCGAACAGCACGCAACAGCAGCAACAGACGCCACCACCACCACCACCACCATTGCGGCCACGCGCCAACGCCCTGACGGATGAGATAATCCGTGTGGATCATGCGGGCGAACTGGGCGCCGATCGCATCTATGCCGGTCAGATGGCCATATTGGGCAACGGGCCCATGGGCAAGACCATTGAGCATATGTGGGAGCAGGAGAAGGGCCATCGCAAACAGTTCGAGCAGCTGATCCAGCAGCATCGTGTGCGTCCCACCATAATGGCGCCCATTTGGAATGTGGCCGCATTTGCGCTGGGCGCCGGCACAGCGCTGCTGGGCGAAAAGGCGGCCATGGCGTGCACTGTGGCCGTCGAGACCGTCATTGTGGAGCACTACAATGATCAGCTGCGTCAGATCATGGAATCACCCAATCCGGATAAGGTAAATGAAGCGCAAGACAAAGGGAATCCAATAATAGTTCCATACTGATCAATTTTCTCCGTTTAGGAACTGCTGGCGACAATCACAAAGTTCCGTGACGAGGAACAGGAGCATCACGACACGGGCATCGATTGTGGCGCCGAACAGGCGCCCTTCTACAAGGCCATTACCGAGGTCATTAAATTTGGATGCAAGACGGCCATAGCCATATCGAAAAAGATCTAAGTTCTAGCATCGAAATGTTGCGTGCGTGTGTTTGTTTAGTTATAGAAGCTTAAGCATTAAAGATACAATCTGTTAAAGTACTTACCGCCCTCGCACTGTGTGCCCTGATAGCCCTCCGGACAGGTGCACACCGACGGAGCCGTGCAATTGCCGCCGTGCATGCACTGCGGAAAGCAGAAGGCCGTCTCACAATATTGGCCCATATAGCCGACGTTGCACTTGCAGATGTGATGCTCGTTGCAATATCCGTTCTTGCCGCACTTCAAACTGCATTCTGGATCGGGAACTTAAGTTGTTTTTAGTTTAGTTCAGATTGCTTTTGATTCGGCTCGTGTGTGTGTGTGTGTGTGTGTGTGTGTGTTTGATAAGTGTGTACATAAGCATTGAAGTGGATTGGATTGCAATTAAGCTTGGCAAGAGTTGTTCGAATTATGAATATGAATATACGAATATGTGCACAGCAGATAACATAATGTGTGACAGACAGAGAGAAAGAGAGAGAGAGAGAAGGAAAAAGCAAAGACAATGCATCAGAGCCAAGCAGAAGTCCCACGCACACCAAATCATTCCTCACATTCGATATGGAGTGGGGGGCAGGGCAGAAGCAGACATAAGGAATCTATAGTAGAGTGGAAGCTGTGCTCAACAGTTGTGGGCGTAAGCAATGGGTTTACATATGTACATCAATCCGAAAGGCATTAGCGACAGAGTGATCAAATGTGATTACAGTAGAAATCGCTTAAGACTAGCTTTATATATGTATGTATATACTACATAAAAACGTATGTATGTATATTCAATTTCAGTTCAAATAATGGAAGAAGAGAAATGTTTTCACACAGTTTTCGTTCTTAAGCGATTTCTACGTGTAGTTTGTAAAGTTGATATAAAGCATTAAATTGACTTTTCATATACACTACCTTGCAAAGTTGTTAGTGAAGTAGGGTTGGAAGCGTCTATATCATACACACCTCTATGTGCGCATTCCTTTTTAAAGTTAAGACGTATGGGTGTGCCCGATAGGGAGGCATTCTTGCGAGTCTGTATCTTCAGGCCCACATTGAATGATGCCGTGCCCGAGCTGTTTCCGGTACAGGGCAGGAATATGCTAAAATCTAGCTTAGATAGATATCAAATGGGCCACATTGGTGCGCCAGCTGCCATAATGGATTGACTCTGATTGCACTTACTTTTCTGCTCCTGCGGTATGCGACCCCGTTTGCTGATCGACAGCGTCGGTGCCTTCAGTATGCTGGCGTCCATCGTTTGTAGTCGATCGAAATCGTAGAAATACTTGCGTCTGCCCGATTTCCATGTGAAGTTCACATAGTTCACCTCCGATGGTATCACCAGATAGCTATAGACTGTAGTGTCGCGCATTTCGTTCGTCACTCGACCATTGTGTATGGCGTAGATGCGATCTGAGTAGCCCTGTGGAAAGTAGAGGGCTGCAAGGATTGTCAGTTGAGCGGTGCAACGGTTCAGATTTACACGCAATTTAAAACGAAAGCGGTTCGCGCTCTAACCCATAACCGGTCAAGTTGCGAATCGGTTAAGTTATGCTGCTGTTAACTAACATAAAATGCAAACTCAGTGAACAGGCTCAAGTGCAACTGTTCCAAACCTATCGAACCAGTTTTAACCGACTCTTGGAACCGAACCGAACTGTTAACAGTGCTGCAAATTGATCGAACTCACCGCTTAACATCTTGAGCTGCTGTTCGTTGATCCACAGCGATATGCCATGCTCCTCCAGGCGATTGTGGCGATTGTGATTGCCCTGATGTTTCTTCCGCGGACCACGCCGATGGCCATGACCAGCGCCGATGCTGCTGTCACTGTCCGCCAAGTTATCAAAGCCATCGACATCTCCATTGCTGTGATTCTCCTCCGAGCTAGCTGAATCACCTCGCCTGTTGTTGTTGTTGCGATTGTGATGCTGCCGACACTCCAGCTGGCCAATGCACAGCAGTGTCTGCACAATTAGCACCACATAGACGCACTTGACCAACCAACTGAATCCCTGCTCTGGCATATTTCTAATAATGCAACGAACAGAAAAAGAAAGGAAAACAAACAATTTGTGAAAATATTAATAGGAAAATCCAAAGGCAATGCTGCAGACTATTCTCATGCAAATCAATTTCATTAGCATGCAATCAATGATATTTGATTATTTGCATTTCCATTTCCATTTGTTTACTTTCCATTTACCCCCGCCCCAGTGCAGGCAACGAAGTGCCGCATTCGCAAATATTGTGTTAAGTATTCATCAAATAGTCGCGCTTTATAACCTGATATCCATGTGTGTGCGTGTGTGTGTGTGTGTGTGTGTGTGTGTGTTTGTATTTTGCACACTTATTGATATATCATTATAGTTAGCATGCGCTTCAATCAGTTTGATATCACTTCACATACATACATATGCCAACTGCGTCTCATTGATCTATCTTCCAATTGGAATAGCAAAGAATCCAATAACTGAATCTATATATACATATATCTCTCTATATACATACCTACATATATATCAGATATAAAGTTTGCTCTTTATCTAAGCTCTCTACAGTTGACTTCAATATTCACTTTGGCCCTCGATAACTATTTTTACCGTTACAGCAAAGAACTTTTCTTATAAGACACAAATCCAATGGGAATATTTGTGTGATAACGACTATAAATAAAATATATATA